CGTGGAACGAGTTGAGATTATAGGTGACCTAAATCCATGAGATGGGTACGGGGGCCCTTACCGTCTAGGAGGAGAAGCGGTAACGGTAGCCGTCCGGCGGAGCCGGCGGAGCCAATGGAGCCGGCGGAACGATCCGGACGGGACCGAAACCATGTGTACCGCCAGCGCTAACGCTGGTGGTACAATAAAACAAAACAAAAAATTCCAATAAAGCTGCTATTCAAACTTTTAATCTAGCTGTATAATTACTAACATGATATGAATAACCCTATTGAGTTTGAGAATAATAATGCACTGTTATTCATCTTTAGCATTAATATAAGCGTTACACAAAATTTTTCTTTTGTAAAATTATTTTCAATATTAAATAACATTTACCTGTGTAATAATAATTGATTCCTAATTATGTAACACAGTTAAGCAGGGTACGAAATAAGGACCGTCCGGCAGCCCGAGAAGGCTCAATTATCACCCGGGCAGTCTCTTTCCAAAAGTTGCCAGTCTGTCGGTCTGGCCATTTTCTGGCCTCTAAAATAATTGTTTATCATTGTGCTCGTTCATATTAAGCAGATTTGGTTGAAATAAAATGAAAAAATGAGGCTCACCCTTCAAGAATTCGACACTCTCAACAAATGAACGAAAACCAAAAGCAGGGCATGCTTATTCACCGTTTTCCCGGCATGCCTAGCGCAAAGACCCTTCACCGTGTTATGAAACGTCTGATACAAAGTATGAAACGCGGCATTTACATGCTTGTTTACGAGACAAATGAGAAACGGTGTGTGGTCATTCAAGTTCAGAACAACATAATCTTGTCTAATTACACAATTTAAGTTTTGATTCTTCTATAATCTGTAATTGTAATAGAACGTCTCTCTCAAAAAAAATTGAATGTCGTCACGACACACGTGGATTACACAAGAAAGTCGCAGTCAGGATTACCCCCGCCCTCTGTAAGTATTTTGGTGCTAATAATGAAAGAGATGCCTCACCACATAAGAAAAGAACACAGGAAGGTATCAGACAATCAAATAAAGTGTATGATGACACCAAAGCAGGGCTCCACAGGTAAAAATTCAGTTCAGACAAGTGAATTTGCAGGGTGGGCTGTCCGACGGACAGGTTATGTTTTATTAAAACTTAAGAACAAAAATCTTGAAAAAGATTTTTTTTGTTGTATACTAACGTTTTCACGTCTCTTCCTGGATGACACTGAAAAGAGTGACCCACATTTGGTACAAAACACGTGGTCCCAAAAACGAAGTCTAAGCAAACTTACTGCCAAATTATGAAAGTGAAAACATTCCAGAACTTCACAAGACAAAAATTATTCACATAACAGGCTGACTACTGAATATCTATTTGTTTAAAAATCTACGGGCTCTAGTAAAAAAAAACTGTGCCTAAAATAGAAACTACACAAGTACTTGGTACAACAGCCAGATTGGACTGGATGAACTGGATGTATCTAGTCTGTTGTCAAGGCAACATATTGCCTGTAAATCAAATGTGTTGCATGCTATCTCCTCACAACCATTTGAAGTTGGAAAGTCAAACTTTGGGACTGAAGATCTTGTTGAAATGTTGTTTATTTGCATACCCTGAAATTTTATAAGATGTTTTATTTAATGACTCTAGCACCACCTGTGTTATTTACAGTTTAAAATTTAGTGCTGGAATTTGCTAAAATAAGCAATGCTGTTATATACCAGTGTGATATTGATGTAAGGAAGAAAATTAGTAATAAAAATATTAGAATTTAAATAAAAAGAAGGGGACTTTTTTTAAATGACGGATTTTATTTAATTCATATATTTAAAAAAATCAAACACATGTTACCCTAAAGAAAGCAAATTGTTAATATAAGTATCAATTTAAAAACTTTAAAATTAGTGATATTTATATAAGTAAACTATTATACAATGAATATTCTTTAATTTTTAATGAAATTTATTCAAATATTATAAATTTTGAATATTTTAATAAAATAATATAACGCTGCCCCCAAGTATGAAAAATCGAAAATAAATCCACTGCATTTCTAGACTCATTTGACTAAATATCTTGGTAATAAATACATTACATGTATGACTACACAAATTAATGTATACAAAGTTCACCAAGAGGTATGATTAATGGAAAAAAAATTCGTGTTGTTGGACAGGTTGGATTCAAAATAGGACACGTCAAATTTGAAGTTAGTGTCTAGCCCTGGGAAAGGAAAATGTCAGTTGTACCATCATGAAAAACTGAATTTTCTTGGTTTATTTGTGATGAGGCTGATAGTAAAAATGTCACCCTTTCTTGCAAGACCTATAGAAGTGTATTGCACCATTGGTTTCTAGGCAACACCAGAAAGATTTCATAAGTATGCCTATGGAGCATTTACAAGTAACAAGCTGGTCATGCAACTAGACTCTGATTATGATAGTCACAATGAATCAGACTTTTCCGATTTAGGTTCAGAGCATAACGTTTCAGATGCTAACAGTGAAGAATATACTTGAATAAATTCACTTTGAGACCTAGAGTCTGTTTCAGTATTGTTCTTGCCTGCAATTGGTTTAATCAGGTAATTTAAAAAAAAATTCAGGACTAGCTACTTTTGGTCAGGGCTGGCTACTTCTCAAAGTTGCCAGCCCTGCTCTCCGGCTTCAAATTTATACGAATTTCATACACTGAGTTAAGAAAGCTAAACCTATGGGACTTTACAATGAAATCTCAACGTGTGTTTTATGTAATCTCATTTAATGGCCACTTGAAAATTAATTAAGCAAATTACTTTATAACCCTGAAATAACTTGAAAATTAATTAAGCAAATTACTTCATAACCCTGAATTAACATACTGCCGCTATCCATATACATTTATTGCACCATAGTGCACTCTATAGAACTGCATTGCTTCCAAAACAGAAAACAATCACACTGGTTTTCCAACACAAGCTGCACTTCAGTCTTATGAAACTTTTCAGTAAGGTTGATTATCATAAGTAACATGGTTTTCCCTTAATCGCTATCCTGGCAGCAGTGTCCAAAATAGGTGTTTCTTCAACTTTCATGCAATATAACATAATACTTAACAGCATAATGACCATCAATTTTTTTATAAAAAAATAACAGTATCATGGATATTCAGAAAATGTGATATGGAAAGGTCTCCAAGGCCATGGAAGTTCAGAGTCACACTTTAAAAATGCCAAAATGTAAACAAGAGATAACTGTACTGAAATGATTTTCTTTCCATTTTCAACACCTTTTTACATAAAACAAAATAATCAATTTAATGTCATTTATAAATGATCAACTAGGAAAATTGTTGACATAGGAACAATATCAATAGAACAATTTTTAAACGTCCAATTTGCTCCATTCGCAGATTCTGAACATAGTGAATGATTGAATCTAACAAACTGCAATGATGAGTTCCTTTCCATTTTTGATACTTTATTACACAATGCACGATAACAGGTTTATGTAAGTTTCAAGCCAAAAGGTAAAATGGTTTTCCATTTATTGTGTTATCGATGCTGCATATATGCTGAAAAAAGTGAAAAAACAGTATAACTTCCCTACAAATGGCCCGATCATGCTGATTTTCAAACTTGACCTGCGTATTATGAATATTCATCAGTTCTATAAGTTTCAAGCCAAAAGGTAAAAGGGTATTTCACTTATCATGTTATCGGTGCTGCATATATGCTTAAAAAATTGAAAAAAACGCATAACTTCCCTAACAAGGCAGCAAAGCTGTTAAATGTACAGACAAAAAACAGAAAATAAAGATGCAAAAAAGGTAATTTTCTCAATTTTGATGCAATGACAAATAATGCTTATAATAGCACTATCAGTCAACACTGAATTTTAATCATGCACAACAGGTAACATGTCAATAACAGGAGCGGACCCAGAGATATTTTCTGACAGCATTCGAAAGTATCTTTTTTGATCAATCCTCCATTTTGATGGTCTTCCAACAGAAAAAAATAGATACCAGTCAATATAAACTTAATAACCTGACTGTCTTCCGGAAGACCCAGAAGATGGTCTCAATCCACCCCTTCAATAAGATTACAGATTCAGGACCATGAAAGTTCAAATTCACATGATGAAAGTCTCAATATTTGAATAAATATGTAAAAAATAGGTCATTTTGTCAATTTTGATGCAATAATAAATAATACTGTCAATCAACCCTGAATTTTAATCATGAACAACAGATAACATGGTCAATAACAGGAGTGAACAGGAGAGATATTTTCTGACAGTATTCCAAATTATCTTTGTTGATCCATCCTCCATTTTTGATGGTATTCCAACAGAAAAAATAGATACCCGTCAATGTAAACATTAAAATCTGACCATCTCCCAGAAGGCCCAGAAGACAGTCTCATTCAGCCCCTGCAATAAGATTACAGTTTCAAGACCACAAGAGTTCAAATTCACATAATGGAAATCACAATATGTGAAAAATGATAACAGTGTATAAAATAATATTACATAATGTTTAAAGACATAAAAAACCAATACAATTGCTCATGTGGAAACAAAGAAAATGCACAGCACTTCTGGTGGATGGGAGTTAAAAATCACATTTTGAAGATGCTAGTGTTTGAAAAATAATTTAAATTTTTTTTAAATAACATGTAAAAAATTCCAATAAAGCTGCTATTCAAACTTTTAATCTAGCTGTATTAACTTGATATGAATAACCCCACCAAGTTTGAGAAAAATAAGGCACTGTTATTCATCTATAGCATGTTGGCATAACACATTTTTTGTTGTAAATTTATTTGCAATATTAAACACCATTTATCTGCATAATTATCACCAAATCCTAATTAAATGTGACACATTTAAGAGAGCTAAACCTACGGGACTTTACAGGGAAATCTCAACGAGTGTTTTATGTAATCTCATTTAATGGCCAATTGAAAATTAATGAGTGGGCAAGTGACTTTATAGACCTTAATTTAATTAGTGATCACCCAAGGGACAATTTTATAGAATAGACTGCCATACAGTACCATCATATAGCACAAGGTGTTGCATACATGCTGAAAAAAGTGAAAAAACAGCATTACTTCTCTAAAAATGACCCAATCATGCTGATTTTCAAACTTAACCTGCTTAATATGAATATTCATCAGTTCTGCAAGTTTCAAGCCAAAAGGTAAAATGCTTTTCCACTTATCATGTTATCGGTGCTGCATATATGCTGAAAAAAGTGAAAAAACTGCGTAACTCCCCTAAAAATGGCCCAATCATGCTGATTTTCAAACTTGACCTGCTAATTATGAATATTCATCAGTTTTGTAAGTTTCAAGCCAAAAAGTAAAATGATTTTCCACTTATTGTGTTATCGGTGCTGCATATATGCTGAAAAAAGTGAAAAAACAGCATAACTTCCCTAAAAATGACCCAATCATGCTGATTTTCGAACTCGACCTGCGTATTATGAATATTCATCAGTTCTGCAGGTTTCAAGCCAAAAGATAAAACGGTTCTTCACTTATCGTGTTATCGGTGAAAGTGCACGGCGACGACGACAGACGCAGATGATGGCTATATGTATGGACACATCTGTGTCTGTACATAAAAATGGCCCGACCATGCTGATTTTCAAACTTGACCTGCGTATTTATGAATATTCATCAATTCTGTAAGTTTCAAACCAAAAGAAACAAGGCAGCAAAGCTGTCAAATGTACAGACAAAAAACAGAAAATAAAGATGCAAAATAGGTCATTTTGTCAATTTTGATGCAATAATAAATAATGCTTATAATAGCACTGTCAGTCAACACTGAATTTTAATCATGCACAACAGGTACCATGGTCAATAACAGGAACGAACCCAGAGATATTTTCTGACAGTATTCCAAAGTATCTATGTTGATCCATCCCCCATTTTTATGGTCTTCCAACAGAAAAAAAATAGATACCAGTCAATATGAACTTAATAACCTGACCGTCTTTCGGAAGACCCAGAAGATGGTCTCAATCCACCCCTTCAATAAGATTACAGTTTCAGGACCATGAGAGTTCAAATTCACATGATGAAAGTCTCAATATTTGAAAAATGATGACAGTGCATAAAATAATACTACATAATGTTTAAAGACATAAAAAACAATGCAACTGCTTATGTGGAAATACAGAAAATGTGCAGAGCCTCAGGCGGATGAGAGTTAAAAGTCACAAATGCCAGTGTTTGAAAATTAAAAAAGAAAACATAACAAAACTAGAAAAGCACTCCGAGAGCACAGACCTCTGCCAAGACAGCAACTGTTGATTGTTATTGCTTATTGATTGATTATTGATCCGGACCACCACCAAAAACTAATCATTGTCCTCCTTGCCCACTTCCGACAGTTCCTGAAAATTTCATCAAAATCGGTCCGTAACTTTTTGAGTTATGTTGATGACAGACAGGGGTGAAAACATAACCTCCTTGGCAGAAGTAAATATAATTCCAATGAAGCTGCTATTCAAACTTTTATTCTTCGAGTTTATATATATATACATATACAACTTATTTGCAATATTAAACAAAATTTACTTGCATAATTATCACTACTTCCTTATTATTAATCTAGCGGAGAGCTTAACCTTTGGGAGTTTTATAGGGAAATATCAACAAGTGTGCTTTATGTAATCTCATTTAAAGACCTATTAATTAGGCAAATGACTTTATAACTCTGAAATTAGCTAAGTGATACCCAAGGGAAATTTACAGACTGACCCTCTCAAAGGTCTTTCAGGCCCATAAGTCACATCTTAAGACAAGGCAGCAAAGCTGTCAAATGTACAGACAAAAAAAAAGAAAAAGAAAATAAAGATATAAAAAAAGGTCATTTTGTCAATTTTGATGCAATAATAAATAATGCTTATAATATAATTATATAATGCACTGTCAGTCAACACTGAATTTTAATCATGCACAACAGGTCACATGGTCAATAACAGGAGCGGACCCTGAGATATTTTCTGACAGTATTCCAAAGTATCTATGTTGATCCATCCTCCATTTTGATGGTCTTCCAACAGAAAAAAATAGATACCAGTCAATATAAACTTAATAACCTGTCTTCCAGACCCAGAAGATGGTCTCAATCCACCCCTTCAATAAGATTACAGTTTCAGGACCATGAGAGACCAAAGTCACATGATGAAAGTCTCAATTTTTGAAAAATGATGACAGTGCATAAAATAATATTATATAATGTTTAAAGACATAAAAAACAATACAATTGCTTATGTGGAAATACAGAAAATGTGCAGAGCCTCGAGCGGATGAGAGTTAAAAGTCACAAATGCAAGTGTTTGAGAAAAAATTGTTAAGGAAAACATAACAAAACTAGAAAACCACCGAGAGTGCAGACCTCTGCCAAGGCAGCAATTGTTGATTATTATTGATTATTGATTGATTATTGAGCCAGACCACCACTAAAAACTAATCATAGTCCTCTTTGGCCCAATTCTGACAGTTCCTGAAAATTTCAGCAAAATCGGTCCATAACTTTTTAGTTATGTTGATGACAGACAAACAGGGGTGAAAATATAACCTCCTTGGCAGAGCTTGAGGTAAATATAATTTCAATGAAGCTGCTATTCAAATTTTTTAATCTTTGATTATATATATATATATATATATATATATATATATATATATATATATATATATATAATAACCTGCATATATATCACTGCTTCCTTATTATTAATCTAGCAGAGAGCTTAACTTTTGGGAGTTTACAAGGAAATATCAACAAGTGTGCTTTATGTAATCTCCTTTAATGGCCTATCAATTAGGCAAATGACTTTATAACTCTGAAATTAATCTACTGATACCCAAGGGTAATTTACAGACTGACCCACTCAAAGGTCTTCAGGCCCATAAGTCACACCTTAAGAAAAGCACAAAACCATAATGCCCAAAATAGGAGACTACCAATCCTGATGCAATAATACATTATGTTTAACTGCACAGTCAACATCAACTTATGCACAACAGGTAACACAGACGAAAGTAAAAGCATAAGGCTTCAGGCCCATCAGAGTTCAAGTTTATACTTAGAAAGTGCCAGAATGAGAAAAATGAAAATTTCACAAAAAATGCATAAATACAATAAACATGATAATCC